GTCAGGCGTGGGAACAGGCTGCCCAGGGCAGGGCTGGAGTCACCGTCCCTGCAAGTGTTCACAGCCCGTGGAGCCGAGGCCTCAGTGCCAGGGGTTAGTGGTGGCCTTGGCACTGCTGGGAATGGTTGGACTGGATGAGCTGAAAGGGTTTTTCCAACCTGGGTGATTCTGTGATCTGGGACATGGGTTCTCTCCAGCTGTCCACAGGAAATGTGTTAGTTTTAAAACCAGCTGCTTCTGTGCACATTACTCTCTTGAGCTAAATGCCATTCAGACCTGCTTTGGTGCTGATAGGAACATACATGTGGGTGTGGTGGAGACAAGTACTGCTAGTTCATTCATTTGGTTTTCATATAGGGAATTCCTGTTTCAGATGATGGGAAATAATAACCCAGAAATCTGACAAGGAGCATGATGTTCTTTTTCTGTGTGGTTTCCTCCTAACTGGCAAAAGAAATTCAAATAGAACAGGTAAAATCAACTCTGTAAATAAGATGCTTCCAAGCTGCACTGTGTGTATCACTAGTAGAGATGGACACACAGGTTAGCATGGAGCTTTACCAGTGGAAGGACCACTGCTGCTCTTAGTGTGTGCATGCACAGAGGAGTAACTGCTGCAGTCTGCTGAGATACTTTTAGCATAAGGTAGAATGAGTAACTGAGATGAAAGCAAATGACTTGTATCATTTGATGTTGAGGTGTGAAGGGAGATGGTGTGGCCACACCAGATTCTGGAGAAAAGGATTAAAAGCCCAACCAAGCAGAACTGGTTTGCTAAGGGAAAAAAAGTTTCTGTGGGAACAAATAAGTTTGCTTAACAATACCAACAGAGTGACAGCAAACACAACCATTCTTTGTGTCTATAGGTGCCTGTGTAACATAATGGTACCCAGCCATACAGTGATGTGAAACCCTGACTAGAGAGGTACAAAAATGCACAATGAGAGACAGGGCACTGCATTCTGCTGCTTCTGATAACTGCAAAAACCAGCTGAAGTGTTTAATTGCTGCTAAACTTACCTCTCTTGGTGGCTGCTGTGTCAGGGGAATAGGTGGGTAAGGCAGCAAGAGCATGATTGTACAGACAAGCCAGTATAAATCAAAAGTAATAACTACCAAAATACACGTCCTCCGTGTCTTATGGCCTGGTGTCATGTAGCCTTGCTCTGCCTCTGGTTCCGTGCCATCCTTTCTTCCACCTCATCCCCCCTGGAAGCACTAGCACCTGCAGGGATTCCCTCTCCTGGGGAGGACTGAGGTTGTATGGATGTGACTATCAGACCCATCCCCAGCAATGGGCCAGAGTATAGGATGTGGGGTGCCCAGTGGTCAGCAGGGAGTGAGAAAGCATTTGCATCCGAGGTGTACCCTGCAGCGGCTGCCCTGGGCTCCCCCAGCCTAGCTGAAGGCTCTTGTCCCAGCTGGTGAGCAATCCAACTGAGGGCTTTCTGAGAAGAGCCCTAAAAAACCTGTGGTTAGTGCCAAGATGCGTTCTTTACTATCAAACAGAATTAGAAATGGGTAAAATGGATTTGAATGGATGGAGCAGCTCTGAGGAGAAGGACTTGAGGTGTTGGGTGAGGAGAAGCTCCCCATGACCCAGCTTCAGTGTGCGCTTGAGCCCAGAACCCCCCCATGTGCTGGGCTGCACCCCCAGAGCATGAGCAGCAGGTCAGGGAGGGGATCCTGCCCCTCTGCTGTGCTCTGGGGAGACCCCCCCTGCAGCCCTGATCCAGCTCTGGGGAACAGCACAAGAGGGACGTGGAGCTGCTGGAGCGAGGCCAGAGGAGGCCCCGGAGCTGCTGCGAGGGCTGGAGCAGCTCTGCTCTGGAGCCAGGCTGAGAGAGCTGGGCTGGGGCAGCTGGAGAAGAGAAGGCTCCTGAAGGGGACACCTTAGAGCAGCTCCAGTGCCTAAAGGGGCTCCAGGAGACCTGGAGAGGGGCTTTGGACAAGGGATGGAGGGACAGGACAAGGGGAATGGGTTTAATCTGCCCGAGGGGAGAAGGAAGAAGTTCTTTACTATCAGTGTGGTGAGACATTGGAAAAGGTTTCACAGAGAAGCTGGGGCTGCCCCATCCATGGCAGTGTTCAAGGCCAGGTTGGACACAGGGGCTTGGAGCAACCTGCTCTGGTGGAAGGTGTCCCTGCCCGGGGCAGGGGTTGGAGCTGGAGGAGCTTTAAGCTCCCTTCCAACACAAACCTTTCCATGATTCTGTGATTCTATGATCGAGAAGGGTACACTCAGGCCAGTGACCATTTTCTCTCAATGGGAGCTAATACAATATTATGTAAAAATCAAACACACAATTGTGTCTTTTAATTCCTTAAGCATTTTATCTGTGTAGCAAAACAGATAAAGGGAATTTCTCCTTTTTCATCACTACAGTGTAATCGTGATTTGTTTCAGTTGATTTCGGGGGGGCAAGATTACAGTTCTGACACAACATCTAGGGTCTAATATTGATGTATTGTCAGCACTATTCATATAGTGGAAGTAAAATTCTGCATGTTCTAACTGGATAGCTGGAGTGACTACTCCAGAAAATACGTTAAATATACCTTTGGTACTTACAAAGCCAAAGTACTCCTAGTTTTTTCATTTAGAATTATAGATTTATTTGAATTGATCAAGAGTCACTGGTGTAACACTAAGGAATTTTGAGGGCACTTTTCACTGCACTAAAGGTAACTAAGTTACTTGCTTGTAGAGGGGCAGAAATGAATAGAGACTTACTACAGAGGCTGGGAATGCAACGGGACATTCTGTACACTACAGAGACAGAACAGGAGTACTGTACCTCAGGATCTTCCACCAGAGTCACAACTCTTCCAGGCTACAATGAAAGAGAGTAGTTCAGTTAGAGGCTTTTACCCTAAGTCCTGAGCAAAACCAAACCAAGGGGCACTGGAAAGTAATGAAAGGGTCAGAGAACTAATCCAGGACCATCTCAGTAAGGTCTGCTCTTGAGATCGAGTGTATGTATTTTCTGAGAATAGCTTTTGATCTGGGTTAGATAAACTGAATGTTAAATTCTGAGTGGAAAGTGGATGCAACACAGAAGTTAAATTAGGGGTAGTCATGAACAGTGAGGTTTTGAGGCCTTGCTTTGTGTGTGCTCTCCACATTCAATTCTATTCCCATTTGAAACAGTGCCAATAATTCATTGATTGGGGATGTGCTGGAGGAGCACATAGTCGTGTTGCTTCTCCACAGCACTATGCAATGGTTTTGCTCTCTGGAGTGACAATGAGGTGAACTTCCTCACTTGTAATCAAAAAGCTTATGTTCATGCATGGAAAATAACAACAGAAATCCTAGCTGGTGTAGAACCAAGCCAGATATCAGCACTTCAGCCCTGGTTTGCACTAACTGGATTCTACAAGGTGTTAATCACACACTATGACACGTTGCAACTCCTAGGTTTAAAAGCTCTTAGCTACTTAGATGGTTTGAAAACACATAGGAAGAAATGAGCAAGTAATTCTTAGTGAGCACCATGTTACTCTAAGCTGAAAAAGTAAGTTTATTATGCAAAAGGCTATTTTCCCCATCCCAGCTCATTCTCCCTTCCTGGGCAGAGGGAGGATCCTTTGGTAGTGGCTTATTTTTCCAATGAGTGAGTTCTTGCTGGAAGAGTAAGAACTCAGTATGTAAATACTAAAAGCTGTTGAAATTTGTTGTATAATCTGGAGAATACAACTTGAAAACACAATGTCCTATGGAGAACTACACCTGTAGTTTAAAACTGCTAATCTTGGCATCAAATTGTGTACAAGTGCCTCTGATTTGAGGTGGGGGAAAGCAGAGGTACCAGCATTCATTCAGTTTTAGTGTAGGATGGAAATTCATTCTCTTGGGAGTGACAAAGATGATCTGAATGTGATGCACTTGGACACCTTTCAGTTAGTCTTGGGTAGTTTTGAGTCTCGGGTGACTACATTTCAGTTTTTAAGGTAATTTCACTGCCACGTCCATGCTTTTGTGTTTAGGAGTTGGGTTTGTCTCCCTCATACTATAAGTGTGGGATTTTTTCCTACACAGTCATCAGCTGCAAGCCAAATAGGAAATGTAGGGTTTTTTTGCAGAGCACTTCCAAATACCACCAACTGTAGATACTATTTATTCATGTCTTTTATAATCTTAAAGGCTGTTTGTTTATAAGCTCTGAGGTGCTGTGTTCTTTCACTTTTATGCCAGTTCTCTCCCTGCATCAGCCATCTACTCCTGACCCGATTGATAAAATAAGTTAACAAAACTAAATGAATACTAAATGATCACTATTTGAGTACTCCGAGAAAACAGGTCTGTTACCATGATTAATCACAGTAACTTAGGTGTTCCTTTTGGGAAGTATTTCCATAGCCATTAATACTTCTCTGACTTGTGTACTCAAAACTGGCCACTAAGATCTTGTAAATTGTGGGTTACAGAGACATTCAGTGGTGGGAAGCAGCTTTCTCTTTATCACCAGGAGTGGCTGTGTCTGAAGCCTAAATACTGAAAGAAAGTGAAGTACTCATCTTCAGAGTGGTTGTGTGATGAAGGAATGCTCTGTTTGTCAAGGGAAGGGATGGGATTTGGTTTGCAGAGCCTGTCTTGCATGGACCTACCTAAACAGACACTATTAAGGAACCATGGGTATTACCTCTGCTATGTCAAGAGAATAACACATCTATAAATGACTATATAATACAAACTAAAAGCGTTTTTGTCATGCCCAGGTACTGCAAAAGGCAAACGAGTGATCTCCTACATCAGATGTCCTTGAGGGACTTGTGTCAGTGCTGTACAGCCTACTGCCAGGATGAAGGCAACCTTCCATGGGATCTCACTGCAGCAGCAGTGTGGTCTGTGGCTGCACAGGGATTTTCTGAAGCATCTGTAGCCCTAAGGGCCATCACCCCTGTGAATGAGAGGGGAAGTCACTGTGGAAAATTAAATACACGTTGTTTCATAGAATCCCAGACTGGTTTGAGTTGGAAGGGAGCTTAAAGCTCCTCCAGCTCCAAGCCCCTGTGTCCAACCTGGCCTTGAACACTGCCAGGGATGGGGCAGCCACAGCTTCTCTGGGCACCCTGTGCCAGCGCCTCAGCACCCTCCCAGGGAAGAGCTTCTGCCCAAGAGCTCATCTCAATCTCCCCTCTGGCAGGTTGAAGCCATTCCCCTTGTCCTGTCCCTCCATCCCTTGTCCAAAGCCCCTCTCCAGGTTTCCTGGAGCCCTTTTAGGCATTGGAACTGGGCTTTGTCTGTCTGTGTGGAGATCAAGTTCCTCAGGACAGTCCTGAGGTCTGGCTGATGTGTGCTATGAAGCTGTGGGGTAAACTGGAATAAGATCTTCCACTGTTACTGTTCTCAGTGGCACCATGAACTGCTCAGCTGCTAAAATGACTAAATATTTACTGATAGAGGAATCCATTGACTTTTGTGTCTGGAATAAAAGGAGATTTGACCTTAGAAAGACTTGTAGCTTGATTACCTCTTCAGGTTGTTTTCAGAAAGGGAGATGTAAGTTTAGTAATAAGCAGCAATGTAATTAAATGCGTTCTTTAAAAGCACCAGTTTATTTCACCGAAGTGTAGCCTTTTCTATGTCCTTTTCCTGTGGCTTATTCTGGGGTGACAGGAGCCTCTCTCTGTCCTCTCCTCTATAGCCCCCTTGCAGGCAGCCATCCAAGGTAAATCAAGGATCACTGAAGGTGGAAGGCACCTCTGCAGATCCTCGAGTCCTGCCTCCTTTCTTCCCCCATTTCACTTCTAACAACTAAAAGCCCTTCATTACCTTAAACTGATTTCACCTCAGGCTGCTGCAGTAATTCTGTGCGTGCAGATACTCATGGGGTTTCTGTCTGGACACATTTGGACAGTGGCAGCAGACAGCTGGAGCTGTGTTCATCATGGCATTGAGTTTCCCTGGGATTTTTTCTAAGCAGGACTGGGAATGATGCCAGTCTGAGAATCCCAAATGTCAGATGTGTCGTGCAGCCAAGTGAGAGCCGGTGTCAGACCGAGGAGAGAGGCTGAAGGGAGCAGTCTGAGCTGGGAGGGAGGATTGTCAGGAGGGGAAGCCAAACGCCGCTAGTCTGGCAGCAGCAAGCTGTTAGTGTGGTTCAGACCACACTGTGATAATATCAGCTGCAACCCTTGAATGCATTTATACTTCCCTGCTCTTCCATGCAAATCCAAACCCCTTAATGTCTGCAAAGGTTTGTGTGGATTGTGCAGGTTTGTGTTTCTGTTGCTGTTTCTTTCTGAAGCTTGCACTAAGAAATTGGAATTTGTCATTCCTGAAACTGCTTTTTTACTTACTCAGATCTTTCTAAGCCCGTAACATTATTTTGCAGGGAGCACTGTTATTGTCTGGTAAAACTCAAGCTGCTTTAAGGTACTATTCAGAATAGTCCTCTGACAGTCTGATTTTTAATTACATCTAATGCATAAGTTGCCATATAGTCTTTCCAATTCAACATCCTGTAAGCTGTAAAATATGGCCCCATGATTAATTATTCTTTATAACTCATTAACCGTGTCATTAGAGTATGAATTGAGCAGTTCAAAGTACAGTTAGAAGGTCAATCATGTCCTGCACTAACAGCTTCCAGCCATTGTACCTGAAAGCGCTCTGTGTCTTTCTGTTTGCAGACCCTGGAAGGCTGCAGCAGCCAGTGTTTTCAGGAGAGGATTTCAACTCGATGGCTACTATTTCATTGCTGTTCTTTGAAATGTGTTAGTACTGAAGGAGCAGTTTGACCTGTAGCTCACCCACAGGAGATTCAATTCATCTCTGATGTCAAGGACTGTAAAGATTTTACAGTGGCCTGGTCTCAGCTCTGTATCCTCTCAGCATACGCTGAAGGAGCCTCTTTGCCTTGCAAGTAGGAATTACAACTCGTGGACTGCAGGAATACCAAAGACATTAAATTGTTGATGCTGAGGAAAGTGTATTTTGTTAATGCTGTTTAATGTAAAACATCAATGCAAAAACCAGTTTAGATAAATAGTGAGCTGTGCCCTCAGTCTGTTCAAACAAGCATTGAAATAGAACAATGTGTGTGTGCATGTGTGGGTTTTGTTGTTGGTTTAAGGCCCTGTATCCCTGCAGATGATAGTTCTGGGTATGATCTTGACCAGTGCAGAAATACACGTGTCCCAGCTTCATAGAACCAAGCATACGCTAGTGGGTGGTAACTTGGTGAGGGCAATTTGCAAGATGCCCAGTATCTGTGCAACAGCAGTCACTGTGTGAGTAGTATTCTGAATTCCAGCTTTGCCCAGCAGAAGATGTCACAGAATCCCAGCCTGGTTTGTGTTGGAAGGGAGATTAAAGCTCCTCCAGCTCCAACCCCTGCCCCGGGCAGGGACACCTTCCACTAGAGCAGGTTGCTCCAAGCCCCTGTGTCCAACCTGGCCTTGAACACTGCCAGGGATGGGGCAGCCACAGCTTCTCTGGGCACCCTGTGCCAGCACCTCAGCACCCTCACAGGGAAGAGCTTCTGCCTCAGAGCTCATCTCAGTCTCCCCTCTGGCAGGTTGAAGCCATTCCCCTTGTCCTGTCCCTCCATCCCTTGTCCAAAGCCCCTCTCCAGGTTTCCTGGAGCCCCTTTAGGCCCTGGAGCTGCTCTAAGGTGTCCCCTTCAGGAGCCTTCTCTTCTCCAGCTGCCCCAGCCCAGCTCTCTCAGCCTGGCTCCAGAGCAGAGCTGCTCCAGCCCTCGCAGCAGCTCCGGGGCCTCCTCTGGTCTCGCTCCAGCAGCTCCACGTCCCTCTTGTGCTGTTCCCCAGAGCTGGAGCAGGGCTGCAGGTGGAATCCTTATGCCATATTCCAGCTTGAGAGTGGAGC